GTATGTTTGTTCTATTTTATTTAGAATTTTTGAGTGTTCTATAGCATGAGGATTTGCAGGATATTCAATGTGCTTGGGAACACAGATAGACATAAGCAGCTGATGCTTATCAGACATCAGTATGTCCACATCTGTGAGTTCATATGTGTGCTTTTATATGTGAAATGTCAGTTGCTTTTCTAAAAATGTGAGCTAACTTACCACTAGATCCAGCGTTAGTACCTGAACAGAGTAATGTATTTCTTTATAGGGATAAAGTGTACTTTAAGATAAATTTTAAAGGTCACATTGAATGTTTCTACAGGGTCAATGGCTTTTTTGAGCTTCTTGACTTGTGGTGTACTCTACTACACGGTAAATTTCTAGGAAATAATACCATAGTGATTGATGGATTTTATGGAATGTTTTGCATCTTTCATTTAATAGTTTTAGTAATAAAAAGGTATGCATTAAAATTCACAAACACTTTTGTATCCTAAGGGTTGTATGGCCAGAAGAAATGATCTTTTCTAAAGATCTTAATAATATAGCACACTGGGGGCCATAGTCTTGTCTAAACCAGGGAACAGAGTAGCTATCTCCTGGCAGTTCATTTCATCTTGAAGTTTCTGTTTTACGAAGGACATAAAACTATCTGACCTTGGAGGGAACCAAGGAAATTATATACTTCCCCAGGTTGTCAATGCCAAATAAAAACAATCTTGCATGTTAAGTGAAGGCTTAACAATATCTTCTTGAAGCCTAATTTTAAAGCTTCGGGTATCTGTTTTTGAAAGTGTCTATCTTATTTCTCTGAATTTCTTAAGAACTTCCTCTCCAGTTTTTCCACATATTATTTTCATAGGGCTGCCGTAACGAAGTACTGCAAACCTGGGGGCTTAAAGCAATAGAAATTTGTTCTCTCATGGTTCTGGAGCCTAGAAGTCTAAAATCAAGGTGTTGGCAGGGTTAGTTCTTACTAGAAGCTCTGCAGGAGAATGTTCTATGCCTCTCCCCTAGCTTCTGGTGTTTGCCAGCAATCCTCGTCAATCCTTGGCTAGTAGACACGTCACTTCAGTCTCTGCCTTTGTTTTCACATGATGTTCTCCCTTGTGTGTCTGTGTCTTTACATGGCCTTCTGATAAAGACAATAGTCATTGGATTAAGGTCCACTCTAATCTAGTATGACCTCATCTTAGTTAATTACAACTGCAAAAATCTTATTCCCAAATAAGGTCACATTCTAAGGATCCAGGTGGACATGATTTTTGGAGGGACACTTTATATTTAACCCAGTACAGTTCAGTACTGTGGGCTGTGAGCTGGCAAGAGGAAGCATAGGCCCTGGAAAGAGGTGGTCACCATTCCAGGCACCTTATCAACACTCTATGTATTGCCTTCCAGTGGAGGTATAAAGGGCAACCTCAAAGATCCAGGGATCCCTAAGTGTGGGGTTTCAATATAGAGGCCCTCAGAGAGAAATGTCTTCTTTATTGTGAAAAGCATTGGCAATTCACAGTAGTCAGATCTTGCTGGCTCCATCCACGTGGGCTGTCTGGTAAGGATGGAGCATGCTTACAAAACATGAAAAAGGACAGAGCTTAACTGTAAAAGAAATATAGTTGGGGTTACCAGAAGGCTTTAATAAACAGAGAGACATTATTTTGCAAAGTCATCTTCCCTAAATCTTGAGGATTCCCAACATTCTCCTGGGCGGTTATGAATGTAAATGGAGCAAAACTGCCTTCAGTCACGACCCTCCACATCTTTCCCAGATTCCCCAGATCACACAGCTAAGAGCCCAGGGGTGTCTATAAATGTTTCCTTTAAAACACACACTCCCATCAAAACTAACCAGCATTATTAGAAAGGGAGAGTAAAAATATTCAGATTTTCTTAAAACCCATGAGAACTTAAACAGTTTTAATTTTTTTGGCTGGATTGCTGTGAGCAGTAATGTTTTCACCAAGGGGCATTAAATGCCGGATCTCTATTCTCCCGTCCTACATTTTTGTCCAGGCTACAAACCAGCCTCAGCTCTAGCTGCACAAACCTGTGGATTCCAATGAAGCTTCTTCACAGATCAGTATAACTCAGGTAAAAAAAAGAGTTGCAGTGTGGAAGAGAATGCTTCTTGGAATTTATAACACTTCCTTACTTTGCTAACATTTTTAAAGAAAGTAATGCCTGACTGCCTGGGGGATTTTAGAGGAATTGTTGGCTACATACAAAAACTAAAAAATATGAATTAATTTAAATTCCATAATAGGTCCCTGTGGTTGCTGCCTATCTTAAAGGAAGGATTAGAAGAAGGAAAACATTTCATTCTATTCACCAAACATTATAGTTAATACTATTTTGACATGAAATCTTTGTTGATCTAATGTATTAGATGTAATAGATTTGTCAAAGTAGTTCTTCCTACCAGAGATCTTGATTTAAACCTCCTTTAAATCAACTTCAGTTGACTCAGTATGCTTACCCACAATGATTTTAATTCTGCAGAAATAATGACTTAGCTTTCCACTCAAGCTTTACCTTTATCTGTGCCTTTAAAAAGTTATCAAAGCCACTGGTACTGCTATTACACCAGCTAGGCAGGAAAGCTCATGGAGAAAAATAGCGTGTGTTGATTGCATGGTTTCTTTTTAAGATTTGGGAATTTTCACATCAATGACCTGAAGCTATATTCCTGAGCTTGTTGGGCAGGCTTGCTGTTTCCTTTTTAAGCTCTGCAACTTCTCAATGTTAAAGCATCGGGTAAGAGGTACCACGTTACCTGAACTCATGATAGGAAGAGATGAAGCTAATGGTTACTCTCTTTTTTTTCCTAATAATCACTTCTTATTCTTAATCACTTCCTAAGGTTGAAGTCTAAGCATTTTTTAGTGAACAATATGTTTTGCTACTTTTCTCAAACTGAAAATATGTTTTGTTTATGGTTGTTAAAATAATTACAAAGTGTTAAAGAATTCCAACAATTATAGCAAAGTAATTAAGATATCCCACCCCCCAAAGAAAAAATTTTTTAAATTAAAACATCTCACAATGGGTCACTTTGAGAAAACTAGTGTTAATGTTTTATGGTACATACCCTCAGGTTTTTTTCTATGCAATACATACATTGCATAATCTATAATATGCTTGCAGATTATATTTATAAAAGTTGTATTATACTATTTATAGGATACACATAATCTTCTTTTTTCACTCTGTGCTAATTCATGCACATCTTTCAATATCTGAATACAGATCCTCATCATACTTTGAAACGGTCCCACAGAATGCTTTTATGGGTGAACTTTAACCACTTTCCCCTTGGTAGACCTGCGATTTTTCTGTTACAAGCATGACATGTATTTTGTGCATGTTATCTTCTTATCCACAGGCAGTTTACATTTTGTGCAACTTGAACCAGTTGTTTGTTGTCTTACATGTCTTCCTCCCACTATAAATACATTTAACCATCCCCAACCAGTCATTAGTGATCTACCGTTCTACAAAACTTAGTCTCAACCTTGAAGGGTCAGCAGAAGGGGAGGTGGATCTGGGTACCACTTTCCATCACTCCTTCTTACAGCTTACTGAGTTATTCTCCTTCTTACAGCTTACTGTAATATACATGTACATCAGTGGGTCCACACACATGTGCATGAATATACATATATGCATGCATATGCACACACACACACCATATACAGGCATTCATATTCATGACTGTAAACATTTTAGGAAAATGAAGTTCCCCTTCCCTATAATGCTGACAAAATACATCTGCAAATATGCTGATTTTAACATTTTATAGTTTGTTCCACATTTGAGTATTATCTTTGGAAAGTATGTTTCAAGTACTGATTCCAAATATGAAAAATATTTTGAGTATTCTGAAAAAATGGAAAATGGTAAAAGAATCGTCTTTCAAGTTCTTCATTTTAGGGCTACATGCATTTAGTGCTATTGTTAGGGGAAAGTATGGTACCATGAAATACCATAGCATTTGTGCTGCAGATCATGAAATCCGACTCCTTACACCCTTCTCATTAATAGAATAGTGCAGTGATGACTTAGGTTTGCAGAGCACCGTGTTCACTTGCGTTTTGCCTTTTGTTGTTATAATAGTCCTGTGAAAGGAGCTTGGCTGTGTTATAATCCACATTTCACAGATGAGGACCCTAATCCCCCAGAGGTAAATGACTTGTCCAAGGACACCTCTATCATGGGGCAGAAGAGTCTTGGAGTCAGACGCCAGGGTTCTTTTCATCTCATCTGCGTTTTCAGTGTAGGTGTTACTGGTTAATTTATAACTCCATAAAGTATTTCTGTTATGATGGTTTTCCCTTACTTCAGAGTTTGGGTCCATAAGCACCATTTGGAATGAGATCATGTTCCTGTAAAACTTCTGTTAATAAAACTGTTCCACGACTGATTTGTTAAGGATCCGTCAAGCGTGAGTTTGCCTACCAGGTCCTGGGCATTTAAAAATGTTTCTAGGGGCCTGTTTAGGGAGAAAAGAAAGTTGTCTCTGACATGCTTTAATTTCTAATAACGTCATCACTGGGCTGGTGTGAGTGCTAGCTGTGCATGGCCCTTGTTGCTCCATTTCTGGCTGGACTCTCTGATTATCTCTAAAAAACCATCTCTCCCAGTTCTTTTATTCATCTATGCATTTTATTACAAAAAATATAACAAATTATGCTTTAGAGGTAATCCTAAATCCTATATATGTTTAGCCATAATCACCGTTAGCATTTAGATATATTTCTTCCATTTTTTTCCCCTGTCATGTCCAATTTTTTTTTTAATGCCTGCATTTGCTTTTGGTTAGTTTGTTTTTAATCTTTTTACTTTTTTTTTTTTAAAAAGTTGAAGTATAGTTGATTTACAGTGTTATATTAGTTTCAGGTGTACAACATAGTGATACAATATTTCTTATAGATTATATTCCATTTAAAATGATAAAATATTGGCTATATTCCCTGTGCTGTACATGGCATCATTGTATTTTATTTAATTTATACCTAGTAGTTTGTACTCCTTAGTCCTCTTTCCCTATCTTGCCCCTAACTCTTTCCCTCTTCCCATGGGTAACCACTAGTTTGTTCTCTGTATGTGTGAGTCTGTCTCAGTTTTGTAATATTCATTTCTTTGTTTTAGTTTTTAGATTCCAAGTATAAGTCATAACAGAGTATTTGTCTTTCTCCGTCTGAGTTCACTAAGCATAATACCTTCCAGTTCCATCCATGTTTTTGCAAATGGCAAAATTTCATTCTTTTTTATGGCTTAGTAATATTCCATTGTATGTATACATACCACATCTTCTTTATCTGTTCATCAGTTGATGGACACTTAAGTTGCTTCCATATCTTGGCTGTTATAAATAATACTGCTATGAATATTGGGGTGCATATATCTTTTTGAATTAATGTTTTTATTTTCTTTGGATATATACCCAGGAGGGGAATTACTGGAACATATGGTAGTTACTAATTTTTGAGAAACTACCATACTGTGGAACTAGTGGCTGCTTCAATTTACATTCCCACCAACAGTGTACCATGGTTTCCTTTTCTCCACATCTTTGCCAACATTTATTATTTGTTGTCTTTTTGATGACAGCCATTTGTGTGAGCTAATATATCATTGTGGTTTTGATCTGTATTTCCCTGATGATTAGTGATGTTGAACATCATTTCATGTGCCTGTTGACCATCTGTATGTCTTTGGGAAAATGTCTATTCAGGTATTCTGCCCACTCTTACTTAGGTTTTTAAAAAAAATATTGAGTTGTGTGAGTTCTTTATATATTTGGATATTGACTGTAAGGAGTCAATATATTGACTGTATTATATTATACTACATATATATATAGTATTTATACTATATATAGTATAAATATTTATATATTTATACTATATATAGTATATATGCTACATATATATATAATATATATAGTATATATATTATATACTGTAAGGAGTCAGATATATTATTTGTAGATATCTTCTCCCATTCAGTATGTTGCCTTTTCATTTCATCGATGGTTTCCTTCACTGTGCAAAAGCTTTTCAAGTTTAATTAGGCCTCATTTGTTATTTTACCATTTCCCTTGTCTGAGGAGACTGCTCCAAAAAAAGTATTGCTAAGACATAAGTTAAAGAGTGCACTGGCTATATTTTCTTCTAGGAGTTTTATGGTTTCCATTCTTTCCATTTAGGTCTTTAATCCATTTTATTTTTGTGTATGGTGTGAGAAAATGTTCTAGTTTCAATCTTTTACATGTAGCTGTCCAGTTTTCCCAACACCACTTATTGAAGAAGTTATCTTTTCCACATTGCATATTCTTGCCTTCTTTGTTGTAGATTAATTGACTGTATGTGACTGGGTTTATTTCTGGGCTCTCTATACTGTTCCATTGATCTATGTGTCTGTTTTTGTACCAGTACCATACTATTTTGATCACTGTAGCTTTGTAGTATAGTTTGAAGTCAGAGAGCATGATACCTCCAGCTTTGCTCTTCTTTCTCAAGATTGCTTTGGCTATTTGGGGGTCTTCCTATGTACATTTTAGGATTATTTGTTTGAGTTCTGTGAAAAATATCATGGGTATTTTGATAGGGATTGCATTATATCTGTAGATTGCTTTGGATAGTATGGACATTTTAACAATATTAATGCTTCCAATCCATGAACATGGAATATGTGTCCATTATTTGCATCCTCTTCAATTTTCGTCATCAGTGTCTTATAGTTTTCAGCATATAGGTCTTTCATCTCCTTGGTTAAATGTATTCCTAGGCATTTTATTCTTTTTGATGCAATTGTAAATGGGACTGTTTTCTTACTTCTTCTGATTGTTCATTATCAATGTACAGAAAAGCAACAGATTTCTGTATATTAATTCTGTGTCCTGCAACTTTACTGAATTCATTTATTAGTTCTAATAGTTGTTTTGGTGAAGACTTTAGGGTTTTCTCATCTGCAAATAGTTGCAGTTTTACTTCTTCCCTTACAATTGATGTCTTTTATTTCTTTTCCTTGCCTGTTTGCTGTAGCTAGGACTTCCAGTATATGTCACATAGAAATGGTGAGAGTGGGCATCCTTGTCCTGTTCCTGATTTTAGAGGAAAAGCTTTCAGTTTTTCACCACTGAGTATGATGTTACCTGTGGGTTTGTCATAAATGGCCTTTATTATATTGAGATATGTTTCCTGTATACGAAATTTTTTGAGAGTTTTTTAATCATGAATGGGTGTTAAATTCTGTCAAATGCTTTTTCTGCACCTATTGAAATGATCATGTGATTTTTATCATTTGTTTTGTTAATATGGTGTATCACATTGATTAACTTGTGGATATTGCACCATCCTTGCATACCTAGAATAAATCCAACTTGATCATGACATATGATCCTTTTTACATATTGTTGAATTCAGTTTGTTAATATGTTGTCAAGGATTTTTACATCTATGTACATCAGAGGTAATGGTTTGTATTTTCTTTTATCGTAGAGTCTCTGTCTGATTTTGGTATCAGGGTAATGGTGGCCTCAGAATGAATTTGGGAGTGTTCACTTCTCTTCAATTTTTTTGGAATTGTTTGAGAAAGATAGGTATTAACTCCTCTTTTTTTTTTTTAACATCTTTATTGGAGTATAATTGCTTTACAATGGTATGTTAGTTTCAGCTTCACAACAAAATGAATCAGTTATATATATACATATATTCCCATATCTCTTCCCGCTTGCGTCTCCCTCCCTCCCACCCTCCCTATCCCACCCCTCCAGGCGGTCACAAAGCACCGAGTTGATCTCCCTGTGCTATGCAGCTGCTTCCCACTAGCTATCTACCCTTATGCTTGGTAGAATTCCCCTGTGAAGCTGTCTGGTACTGAACTTCTGTTTGTTGGTAGTTTTTTGATTACTGATTCAATTTCAATACTAATAATTGGTCTTTTCAGATTATCTATTTCTCCTCATTCAGTCTTGGAAGATTATATATTTCTAGGAATTTATCCATTTCTTCTAGGTTGTCTAATTTGTTGGCATATAACTGTGTGTATGTTTGTATTCTGTGATATTTGTTGTAATTTCTTTTTCATTTCTTATTTTATTTGGGTCCCTTCTCTTTTTTCCTTAATGAGCCTAGCTAAAGGCTTACCAATTTTTTTTATCTTAAAAAAAACCCAGCTCTTGGTTTCACTGATCTTTTCAATTTTTTTTGTCTCTATTTTATTTATTTCCACTGTAATCTTTGTTATTTCCTTTCTTCTGGTGACTTTGGGCTTTGTTTGTTCTTCTTTTTCTAATTCTTTTAGGTGGTACATTAGATTGTTTGAGATTTTTCTTGTTTCTTGAGGTAGGCCTATATTACTATAAACTTGCCTCTTAGAACTGCTTTTGCTGTGTCTCATAGATTTTGGAAAGTTGTGGGGTTTTTTTTGTTGTTTTTTTCATTTGTCTCAAGGTATTTTCTGATTTCCTTTTTTATTTCTTCATTGCCCCATTGGTTTTTTTTAGTAGCATGCTGTTTAGTGTCCACATGGTTGTGTTTTTTCCATATTTCTTCTTATAATTGACTTCTAGGTTCATACTGTTTTGGTCTGAAAAGATGCTTGATATAACTTCTAACCACTTAAATTTGTTGGAACTTGTTTTGTGACCTAGTATGTGAACTATCCTGGAGAACATTTCATGTGCACTTGAAAAGAATGTATTTTGGGGTGAAATGTTCTGTAGATACCTATTAATTTCAACTAGTCTAATGTGCCATTTAAGGCCACTGTTTCCTTATTGACTTTCTGTCTGGATGATCTGTCCATTCATGTAAGTGGGGTGTTAAAGTCCCCTGTTATTATTGTATTATTGTCAATTTCTCCTTTTGTGTCTGTTCATATTTGCTTTACATATATATGTACTCCTATATTAGTTGCATATATGTTTACAAAGTTTTTATCCCCTTCTTTTATTGATCCATTTATCATAATACAATGTCCTTCTTTGCCCTTTATTATAGACTTTGTTTTAAAATCTACTTGTCTGATATGAGTATTACTACCCCAACTTTATTTTTGTTTTCATTTGCATGGAATACCTTTTTCATCCCTTCACTTTCAGTATGTGAGTGTCTTTAACTCTGAAATGAGTATTTTGTAGGCAGCATATAGATGGGTCTTGTTTTTCATCTAATCAGGAATCCTTGCCTTTTGATTGGAGCATTTAGTCCATTGACATTTTATTTTATTTTATTTTTTTTATATATATTTTTTTGTGGTACGCGGGCCTCTCACTGTTGTGGCCTCTCCTGTTGTGGAGCACAGCCTCTGGACGCGCAGGCTCAGCGGCCACGGCTTATGTGCCCAGCCGCTCCACAGCATGTGGGATCTTCCCAGACTGGGGCATGAACCCGTGTCCCCTGCATTGACAGGTGGACTCTCAACCACTGCGCCACCAGGGAAGCCCGTCCATTGACATTTTAAGTGATTATTGATAGATATGTACTTCTTGACATTTTGTTGCTTGTTTTTGTTGTTCTTCTCTGTTCTCTTCTTTTTTCTTTTTTAGTTTCATCCCTTGTGGTTTGATGATTTTGTTTAGTGTTTTTTGTGTTCATTTCTCTCTAGTTTTTATGTATCTATTATAGGTTTTTTGTTTGTGGTTACTATGGAGTTCATATATATTGACTTGTAACTATATTTATTTTAAATTGAGATTCACTTAAGTTCAAACACATTCTAAACATCTCTACATTTTTTACTCCACCCCCATTTTGTGTTTTTGATGTCATAGTTTACATCTTCATGTCTATCCCTCAACTGTTTATTATAGTAATAGTTAATTTTAAATTTTTTATCTTTTAATCCTTGTACTAGCTTATTTAACTGGTTGATTCACAGCCTTTACCAGTGGGATTTTTTTCTTCCTCTAATTTCTTATTTCTTGTAAACTTTTCTTTTTCATTGAAAGAAGACCCTCTAACACTTCTTGTAAAGTCAGTTTAGTAGTGATGAACTCTTAGTTTTTCCTTGTCTGAGAAGCTCTTTCTCCTCCTTTAATTCTGAATAATAGCCTTTCTGTGTAGAATATTCTAGGTTGTACGTTTTTTCCCTTTAGCACTTTAAATATATCCTGCCACTCTCTTCTGGTCTATAAAATTTCTGCTGAAAAATCAGTTGATAGCCTCTTGGGGGTTCCCTTGTATGTGACTCTTTGTTTTTCTATTTTGCTGCCTTTAAAATTATCTATATATTTTTAACTTTTGACATTTTGATTATGCTGTGTCTTGGTGTATGTCTCTTTGGGTTCATCTTGTTTGGGACTCTCTGTGCTTCCTGTACCTGGATATCTGTTTCCTTCTTCAAGTTCAGGAAGTTTTCAGCCATAATTTCATCAAATACATTTTCTATCACTCTCTCTTCTCTTTCTGGGACCCCTATAATGTGACTGTTAGTATGCCTGATGTCTCAGAGGTCCCTTAAACCATTCTCAATTTTAGTAAAAAAGTTGTTCTTTTTGCTGTTTTGATTGGGTGATTTCCATTATTCTATCTTCCAGATTGCTTATGCATTCTTCTACATCATGTAATCTGTTGTTAATTCCCTCTAGTGTATTTTTCATTTCAGTTAGTGTAATCTTCAGTTCTGGCTGGTTCTTTTTTATATTTTATAGTTCCTTGTTAAAATTCTCACTGTGTTTATCTATTTTTTCCTTTTTCCTCAAGGTCACTTAGCATTCTTATTGCTATTGCTTTGAATTCTTTATCAGGTAATTATTTATCTCTGTTTCATTAGGGTTTTTTTCAGGGTTTTTTTTTTTTACTTGTTCTTTCATTTGAAACATTTTATTTTGTCTCCTCATTTTAGTTAACTTTCTCTGTTTCTATGAAATTAGGTGAGACAGCTACCTATCCCACTCTTGGAGGCATTCCTTGTGTGTCAGTGTCCCATGCAGTCTGTGTGTGCCCTGTGGCTTTGGTGGGGGATCTAGATCTGAAGTGAGCATGGGCCATGTCTCCCCCTTTGG